CCAAGTAAGAAATATTTATTTTTAACAAAAGAAGTATTTAGGTTGAACTATTGTTGGAATTAATTTTATTTATTTGATTAAAATATATTAATTATAATATTAATTATTATAATAATAATATAATTAAATATTTTATAATTTCTCGAAATAAATTCGTAAAAGAAAAAATATAAAAAATAATTTGGTTGGTTTTAAAATATAAACATATAAATATTAAGATTTAAATCTAAAAAGGCTTAATATAAAAATAAGTGTCCAAATTATATCATTTTTTCTATTTATGTGTCTAACTATTTTTCGGTCAATTCATGTGCCTAATATTACAAAATCATTTTAAGTGCTCTGATCGTAATGATAGTTAAAAAAATTCATTAAGTGACACGTGTCGTATTCTGTTAATTTTAAATATTTTTTTTGAATTAATCACTAATATCCAATTTATTTATTGACTAATCCAGATCGGTGTACTACTAAGGTAAGGACGATCCTCCCAATCAAGTTTGCTCTATTCGCAAACGTCAAAATTCGAACCTCTAACCTTGCTTAAGAAATCTAGTGTCTCGTCCCACTAGGCCAAATGATTATTAGTATTTAAAAAAATAAAAATATATTATATTAAAAAATACTTTTAATAAAAAAAATCCTCCACTCTCTCGTGGGATATTTCTGAAGCTTCATGCTTTTCTGGGTTATCCTGAAAAGGGAGCAAGTAGGGGACTTTATTTGGTTTATTCTCTGGAACCACTTTCTCAGTAACCAAACAAAACAAGTCTAACATGGAAAAAAAGAAATTGAAAATAATCTCTATAAGCTGGAAGCTGGAAAAGGAAGGAGAAAAGCAAATAAAAGTTGGGAATATTTGGAAAATGATTTCCATGTCAGTATTCTTAAAGATTTCTCCCATTTTCTTCTACTTTTCGGTGTGGGATTTCACTTTCTAGCCCACTAGCATAGAGAAAAAAAAGAAAGAAATTACCACTATTAGTAATATTTAGTGACAATCTTCATAATCGTTGCAACAATATGAACTTGACTTTACCCTATATGTGGCCAGAATTAGGTATTGTATTTGTACATGCCTGTTTAAGTTTCAGTAAGTTATTGTTGAAATAAACTTTGGATTAATTCCGTAAACGATTGGACGCCGATGTTTGAGCCGAAATCTTCAAATTGGAGTTTAACTTGTCTGATGCCTGTATTGATCTTTAAGAACTTGGAAATGAATCATTGTTTAAGAGATCTTATTTATTGGTTAGTGATACTTGTCTTTTAATCTGTGTTTATCTGTTTGTGCCTAATGTAGAAAAACCTGATGCCGACCTTAACGATATCTGAATATTCTCTGGGAGGAGACGGTGATCTGTTCAAAGCTCCAGAACCGATCACCGAGGAACCGACTTTAGAGAGAGGGAAAGGGAGGAGAAGGGGTGGGGATTTTTTTTGGGTAAACGAGGTGTTTAGTACTTAAACTATCAATTTTAGTATGATTTAGTACTTAAACTTTCATTTTTTTCAAAACTATGCATAATATTTAGTTTTTATTTCGTTTTAGTACCTGGCCGTTTAAAACTTAACGGGTGATTTAAACATAGACCCTTTGTATGGGTAAATTGCATCGTTCATTACTAAACTATCTTCTCACTCATATTTTGGTTACTAATTTTTTTAACTTAATCACTGAACTTTCAAATTACTCCTAATTTAATCACTTTAACTTTCAAATTTACTTTTTTATTTTTAATTATATATTAATAAAATAATAAAAAAACATCACACCACAAAAATTATTAATAAAATAAATTAAAGTGATTAAAATACGAACAATTTGAAACTTGAGTAGTTAAATTGATATTTTTAAATTAGTACAAAAATAGGAGTGAGAATATAATTGAGTGATAAATAATGTAATTTACCCATAAAAATACAGTTTAGTTAAGTTTTTAACGGCGAGGTATTAAAATGAACAAAAAATAAACGTTACATATGGTTTTGAAAAAATTAAAAGTTTAAGTACTAAAACGGATCAAAACTGATAGTTTAGGAACTAAACAAGTAATTTACATTTTTTTAAAAATATTTTTAATATAATAAGGCTCTACCAACTGGGCCAGACGGACAATTCATAATTGGAGGTCTTCTACGAAAGCTGCTCTCAACCTGGCGTTGAGTGCAGCCTACTATCCTACCTCCCCTTACCCCATTACATATGGGAATAGGGTCAGTTAATTATTATTTTTTTATTTTTTAAAATAAAATCTTTAAAATTACTAGAAAATGACATGTGTCATTTGATGGAATTTTATAACAGTCGTTATGGCCGAAACACTTAAAATGATAACGTTTGTAATATTTGACACTTGTATTGACCGAAAAATAGTTTAAGCACGTAAATGAGAAAAACGGTGCATTTTGAACACTTATTTTTATATTAAGTTAATCTAACATAATATCAAGTTCCCTTAAATTATATTTAATAAAATAAAATAAAATATTTGACAATAAATTTCTTAAATTATATGTAATTTGCACATAATATAGAGACTAATAACAAAATTTTACTTTTTGGCAAACTAGTTTATAGTAATTACACTTTTAATTATTAATAGTGTCAATATTTATCATAACAAATAAAATTTTAAGCGACAAATAACTTTATTATCACAAGAAATATTAAATAATAGTGATCACTATATATATCGTCAATTTCATATCATTTTCCGCCAAGAATATAGAGGCGTCAATTTATGTATTTCAATAGTATCAAAATTTTTGTGATAATAAAATTTGTGCCACAAATATATACTTATATTAATAATTTAATTGTAAAAAAAAATAATCATTACAATTAATACTATACTAATGATTAAATAAAAATATACCATAATTATTTTTACTAGTAATATCGTCCAAATTTTTTTCACAAAAATTTAATATTTATGATAACATTACTCATAATCACTATTAATTTATCACTACAAATTTTTATTCTTATATTGTTCCTGAACCATCATATTATGTCTTTATTACTATTGAATCGGTCTATCTATAATCTTTATAGACCCATATATATTTACGATCACAATTAAATTATGCTTTATAAAAAAAAAGAAAAATTATTATAACAAATGTTATGAGAAATTGTTCTAAGGATAACTTCTAAATTTTATCAACTCTGTCAATTAATGATAATTTATATGAGTGTAGATTTGGTTAAAAGTTATATTTTAAACATGCATGCTATGATCCTATCCATTGTACATGTCAGTTGTTAATGTGGCATCTTGTTGGAAACAACTTGGCGGTGAGAACAACTGGGATGATCTATTGCACCCTCTTGATCTTTACCTCCGCCGCTATATTATTCACTGCCTCCAAAAGGCCGGAGCTGCCGGTGATGTATTCAACACCACCAAGGTTTCAAAGTGTTACGCCCTTACCCTATACCCACCCGAGGCGTATTTCGATAAGGTTGGTCTTGAAAAGGGAAACCCATACCATTACAGACTCACCGACTTCATCTATGCCGCCACAGGTGATGACACAGCGGCATATATTGCTTATGTGGCGGTGGCCACGGACGAAGGGACAGCCGCTCTGGGAAGGAGGGATATTCTGGTTTCATGGAGAGGAACCACGACATCGGAAGAGTGGGCTTCCGATGTTAATCTTATTCAAACATCGGCCAAAGATTTGTTCGGAACTGACTTGGTTCAGGTGCACGCTGGGTTCTACAGCATCTATACGAAGTCGATAGCAAGTAATCCTTATGCTAAGACTAGTGCAAGGGAACAGGTAAATATAGCTTAATGTATATATATGACCATCAATTTTCAATTAATTAGCTTGTTTTATACTTAAGTAGTCATCCCCAATGGGCTTTTGCAGGCTCTTAAAGCGGTGCGTGCGCTGGTGGATGAGTATGAACACGAGGAGGTGAGCATAACTGTGACAGGCCATAGCCTGGGCGCAGCACTTGAAACCCTAAACGCGATGGATATAGCTCACAACGGAATCAACAAGCCGACGGGGCAACCTATTTAAGGCGTTCATGGTGACTGCTTTTCCGGCTGCCAGCCCTCGCGTTGGGGATGCAGGCTTCAAAGCAGTTTATGGTCCGTATCGTGAATGCCACGGACCCCGTTCCTATGGTCCGTATGCGCCATTAATCTACAAGCATGTGGGACAATTTCTAGAGATTGACACAACCAAGTCACCCCACTTGAAAAGCCCTAATAATCCTCACATTCTGGAGATTTACCGGCATGGAGTTGCAAGAGTTCAAGAGAACGGCGAGTTCAAATTGGAAGAGGAACTTCATTTCGATAATGCAATCGTAAACAAACATGGTGGTAGTTTAGTGGACGATTACGAAATACCAGATAACTGGTGGACGACGGAGTTGTTCAAGGGTATGGTTCAGGAGGAAGATGGGCGCTGGAAGTTCATTGACTCTGCCTATGTCCCAGATCCTCCAACTGCTTAGCTTCTATTCTAGAATGCATAATAGTGGATCTTATAAATAAGTACCTCCATCTAATTACACTCCACGTAGTTGTGGAATTAAAAACAACGTTGGACTTACGTTAAGCTTGCTTATCTACCGTCCAATACCCACAGATTGTACAGTGATGTCTTGTCTTTGTATGTTTGTTGGATTGTCTTAATATTTTGGTGAAGAATAATATGAATCTTTGTAATACTAGTATTTGTCCTGAGGTTAATTAGTGCTATACATGCATTCATCATCGGTTAAAATACCTTATGGCATTTAAGCTCAGGGCACGGTGACTAAAGTTTTTAGTCTGTTCCGATACATCCTTTGTGATAAAGTTGAAACTGAGCTTTCTTTTGATTAATGAACTGACTTGGAAGCATGGATATTTTGGGGTTGGAATTCTTAGGTTTAGTTCGTTTTTGTTACGAGTCAAATCTGGGTTACTTAGGTCACTAAACGTGTTGCTTAATGATGTGAAAAAACTGAAGAAAACGGAGTTTTATTAGACGTATGATGGATGTGAGAATGGAGGAAAACAGTGAGGGCAAACTTGTAATTTAAATTGAAGATGAAGAAGATATTCCCTGTGAAGCGGGAGCCCATCCCAAAAATATTTTTGTGGCAACGGTTCCTTTTCCACGAAAATCAGACTCCTTTTCCATCTCCCTTCTTTTCTTTCTTCCAAGAAACAAACACCGTTGCTTGTTTTCTTCTACCTCCAGAACCAACAGCATTAAACCATAAGCAGTTAAAGCAAATTTCTTTCAAGAGCTAAAGCGAAACCTTTGTTCTCAGTTAAATGGCTCAATTCACACCACAAGGTCGTCTGAAGCTGCACTTTCATGGAGAGAGTGTGGAACCCAAAGACCCTTCTCATTACAAGCTTATTAGCAACGTTTTTTGTGGTTCTTTTAAGCTAAGATCAGTTCAAGTTCGTAAGGGGATTACTGGGAGGCTCTATTTTCCTTCTCATTCCATGAAGAATGGCTGCAAATTTTATGCGAAGGCACGTTTGGATGTGGAAGATGAAGCAATTTATGACGAGGATGATTATGATAGTGAGTTCGAGGCTGATGATTTGGCTTGTTTCAGAGGTCTTGTTTTGGATATCTCTTACAGGTTAATCATCCCCCCTAAAATTACTCATCTTTTCTTGTTTGAATTTGGTGCTTTGTTTCGTTGTTTCAATAGGGGGATGGCAGAATTTTTTTTTGGTGGTTGAAATTGAATCAAAATATTTTATGGAATTCAAAATGTAATTTTATGTCTGCATTAGCTTCTAACATTACACTTTTTAGGACTAAATCAGAATCTTATCATTTTAAGGGGTCAAAATGTAGTTTCACCATGAATTAGCTTATAATTTATAGTTTATAAAAGGCATTATAAACAAATTTACCATTTTAGGGGGCCTAGTATTCCTTGTTTGATTCTCTCTTATGTGGTTTGCAATGGTATAAGATCTAATTAGTGACATACAATTCCAGGCCAGTAAATGTTGTCTGCTGGAGGCGAGCTATATGTTTGGAGTTCATGGAAAAGGTTGGATCAGTTTATTGTGCACACTCCTTTGTATTTTAGATGTTTGTACTAGTTACAGTTCATGACTTGAATAATTCGCCGTGCGCTTTGCTTGGTGAAGAGATAAAATTCATATCGAATAAGACTCCTTGTAATCTATGCAAGCCTCTTATAGTTTCGATATTATATTGAGCTCGTGGTTTTCCCTTTTAGGTTCCACGAATTTGGTTTTCCCTTGTATGTTCTTATTCTTGAGATCTCGTTTTTCACTCATCGTTATCTTAACAGTATGAAACTTTTACAGTTGTTTTCTAAGCTTGAGGAAAAATCCGAACATCAAACCGTAATGTTCAGTTTGGTCATTGTTGAATTCGGCTTACAATTTTCTCAGAAATCATTTTCCAACACGAGGAAGGCTAGTGAAGTATAGGCTATAGAGTCCTCGTTTTACCATTTCATTACATGGTATGACAAATGTTTGATGAATGCATGTTCCTTCTTTTGTCCAGGCTGATGTTCTAGAATATTATGATCAGACTGTGAACTCCCCAAGTGGATCCTTCTATATACCAGCCGTATTAAGGGTAAGAAACCGAGGACTCTTTGTAGTTTATTCCGATCCTCTCTCACATCTGTCGTTCAATTTTCCTTTTTCACTCATGTTTTACGTGACTCGGACCTAATTGTAAGTGTTGTATACGAATGTGTCTAACACAATTATGTTCTGAATGTTCTTCTACCAGGTTCGCCATCTATTGCAAGTTGTTAAGAGAAGAAGAATCAGAACCAATCTTAGCCGCAAAAATATTCTGTTTAGGGATAATTTCACTTGTCAGTAAGTTGTTCACAACTTCACTTTCACTATGAATCAAACTCAGTTGATCTCCTACTTCAGGTTGTCATTCCCTATTACATAATCTTTTACTTTGACTCGAATATAAATGCCAGATGTGGATATTTCATATTTCGAACAAAAAATGAAGAATTGGAATAACAAAAGTACTGTTGTTAGTATAATACCTAAACCAATTCTATTTGGTTCTTGTGCCTGATCTTATAAATTCAGTTCAAAGGCAATCATCTGTTGGCCTTCAAAGGATCTCTTACAAAAGAGGTTTTGGTTTTGTGAAAAGGTATTGTTCAGCTCCTGACAACTTGACCATAGATCATGTTCTGCCTGTTGCAAGAGGAGGGGAATGGAAGTGGGAAAATCTGGTAAGATAATGATATTAAACAGAGCACATTAACCGATATTTTTCTACTCTTATCAATGTTACTTGGACTCTGTCACACTCAATTATGTGTCGATATGGGTTTGTCCAAATTTTCGCAAGATTTTCATGTATTTTCGTCCAAACATATCTTCTCAATTCTCATCGATGTTACTTGGACAGTATCGAAAGAGTTTAACATTTCATGGTTTTAACCACCATGAATTCTAGTTTTATAATTTTTTTGCCCCTTGTCTGCCTGTTTACAGGTCGCTGCTTGTGCCAAATGCAATTCAAAGAAGGGTCAGAAAACTCTGGAGGAAGCTTATATGAAGCTGATTAAAGTCCCCAAGGTACTTTTTTTTATTCAGCCTTGTTGAGGGTATCCTAAATTTTTTTAAACTTTTCCCATTTATTTAGAGGTTAATTGTTGGACTATATCTACACACCCATGTCTAGAGATTATTGAACATAAGTTTTGTAAATGGATACTTACAAGAAAAAAAATAAAAAGTCGGCGTGACGTAGTTGTATGAATGTCGAATACTTTTAATATGAGGATGATTTTGATATTTGAAAACTAAGATCATTGTCCCCTTTGGCTGTTCAGGCCCCAAAGGATTACGACATACTTGCCATACCCTTAACAAGTTCAGCAATGAGGATGTTGAGGAAGAGAAATGGAACACCTCAAGAATGGCGTCAATATCTCCCCTGAGCTGTAGAAATCCATCTACACTTGTTAGTCGGATCTGAGTGTGGATGTCCAATGACAAGGGTGTGATTTTCTCAAGTTCTTCAATATATTTGGAAGATCTTTAGAGGTCATAACATTATATACTCGTATCTGGATAAACCTCTGACATTGATACTATAAAAATTGAACAATCGAATTAACATTGATCAATATAGATATTTTAAACGCGCAGGCTTTTTCTTTCTGTTTTTTTAACTAAAATGGCTAAAATGGTTGCCCCTTGTTCCCATATGTAATGGGGTAAGGGGAGGTAAGATAGTAGGCTGTCCCCAACATCAGGTTGAGAGCAACTTCCGTAGAAGACCTCCGAATTATGAAATGTCTTCTGTGGGACTCGATACCACGACCTCAAGATTTTTTAACTGGTAATACATATTAAACGCCGATTGCAGTAAAAGACCTGGAAGGTGCAAGTGAAGCCTATGTTCTCTTTAAGTTTCCATTGGGAATTAACATACACCATTGTTACTGAGATATTTTACATTCAGCCCCACAAAGAAGCTTTCTGGGAAGGCTGAGCATGCATCTCGGCTGCCCATTGTACTGATGGAGTCCCCAATGACGCCAAAAATTTCCGGTTGCAATGCTCTTGGCATCCTCATCTAGAAGGCCAAACAAGTGACTGCATGTCCGGGCATTTGTTGCCTGCTAGTCTTGGCAAAAGTCACTGTAAAATGTCTGAGGCATTACCCCGAATTTACATTCTTGATTCCATAACCAACTTCCCCAATGATAAAAGGATAAACGGTTTTTGTGATCATGGCAGATGGAGAAAAACCAAAGAATCTTTCAATTTTGTCATCTTTTTAACAATTTTTTATTGCTATGATTTTTAGTTTGTGCTCAGACAAGTTAATAATTTTAATTTGCTTTCCAGTAAACTTATTTAACTTTTTATTTCATACTTAAATAAACCCTTTAACATAAATTATGAAATAAAAACTTATCTAAATAGAATTTAAAATAAAAGAAATAATTTGAGTGGAATAATAATGAAAACCTATTCAAGATTAATGAAATATGTACTTATCTTTAAATACTTCAATTAAAATTTTTGCTGTTATCAATAGCTTTCCTTTTCCTTGTTTTGACATCACCACCAATTAGGGATGATAATCTTTAGAAAATATGATGGATAATAATACTAATTTGTGAACGCAGTAATTTATTAATTGAATTTAAGAAACTCCAAGGAAAAAGCCTGCCTCATCAGCTACAGCTCGAAAATTCCCACGTTTTCTTGTTTTCCAGTGTCAAATCAAAATTTTAACTTTTGTTTTCTCCAAAATCATCCGACGAGCCTCAGCAGATGATTGGCTCAAAATCCCTTCTACAATCACGGCTACCATTTTTCCCGTGCATTAAAGCACAGTTTAAGAGTTTTTAGACCTTGAAGCCCAAATCTATTTTTCAGACAGTAAAATTTCGAGATTCGAGCTTTAAACCTGCTAAATATCATCATAGGCTTTGCTTGGCATGAAGATGAGGAATGATGAAAAATTTGTTAATCAAATGGTTAAGATTCAAAGTAAGAAAGTGGTTATGAATCTTAACAGTTTAATAAACAATTTTTTTAATCTTTATTTTCATTCTTCATACCAAGTAAAGCCTTAAAAGACCCATGATCTAACAGAGCAAGCTCTGAATTTTGCCCAATGTCAATTAAGCTGGAGTTCATATTCAAACAGAACAAATAAAATGAAATGAATAGGCATCAATGGAAAATGATAATATTCTAAATCAGAGATTTTAATCTCATCTTTTATCCATTGAAAGTCAGCAATTACGGTTTTTGAAAACTTCAAAGAAAATTCAAAAGATGAAAAATGTAAATTACATAATGCAAAGCAACATTCAACAGATTACAGTAGTATAAGTATCCGAACCAACCTCTTGATCTCCTTATACCATAAGTTCATCTTCAAGAAAGTTGTACTCAAAGATGAATTCAGTCTTGATTCTTTGACACCTGAAAAACATTACACAGTAAATGTCTATAATAAAAAGAATGAGATGTATTCAACACAAGTCTGAATAACAGATGAAATCAATGTAAACCAGAAAATGAAGTGCTTTAAATAATTGAAAAGCTACTGTAATTCCAAGCCAACTTACCATCCATGTTGGTGGTCATCATTTGCTATGTGGAAATCAAAGTAAACATAGGTTCCCTGTTCAAATTCATCAGTAGCGATTTTTGGCTCCTCATGCCGCTGAAACCATGTGTTGTATTTTCTATGGTATCTCCAAGATTGCTTCTTCAGCTCCTTTGCTGCTAGATATTGTTGGTAAGTGTTCTGCACAAAATTTGACACATTGGAGAACTCACCAACACATTGTATTAATTTATGCATGCAAACACGGCAAGTGAGAGAGAGAGAGAGAGAGAGAGAGAGAAAAAAAAACTTATTTACTTGTTGATAATAAAATGCAAAGAACAGTGTATCAGTGCCAGTGCCGTATCCATCAATGCTCAAGCGTTCCCAGAAGGCAGGATTGTTCACAATGGGTGCCTGAACTTGAGGGTAGCTAGCAGGGATTGCCGTAGGATGCTTCTGCAATATACAAGCAGCAAATCTTAACTATATGAATCTACACAATAGTTATCGTCTTTTTGAAAACAAAATATATCATTGGAAATTCCATACTGGAATGTAGTTCCTCGCTCGTTCTGAGTCTTTAGGTTGGGGAAGTTTGTAATATGCAGACTCAAGCATCTGCAAATTGTATAATTGATCATGCATTCCCCCAGAATTTGTTGAACCACTGAGGTTGTCACCAATGGCACCAAGATCGGAAACACTTCTCCGACCAATAACTCCGAGACCACTAGAAGATTGGTTGTATTGCAAGGGTTGTCCAGGAGAAAGATCAATATCCCGAATGTTTCGAGCAGGTTCTGTCAAAGATCCAGAATCTGCACCCTGCACAAAGAAGCATTTATAAAACCACTTAAGTTATCCTGATCTCTGACGTTTTTCATTCCATCTAGCAAACAATGTATTTTTTAAACCAAGAAAAACACATTATTATGCCCACATCTTTTGTCTATCCAGTCAAGCCCATGAACAAGTAGTTTTAGAAACTAAGCACATATATAGTGGAAAACTTAAGACGGATTACCAAATTAAAGCGTAAAAAGTTAATTATGATTATAGTATAAGATTGAACATGTTTACAAATACAGCCCCAAGCCTGACTATAATGTGCATAATACATAAACAAGATTAGTAAGTATTTTACATACAGGAGAATCAATTGCATATGGAGCTTTCGAATCATCTTCATTCATGAGATTTTTGGCAAGCCCAGAAGTCGGAATAGCTTCAGAACTTGAACCATCAGATAAATTCTGCAATTGTTGTTCCTCAACTTTTGCAATGCCAACATCTGAACATATATTAAGCTCTTAATTAAGTATTATATATATATATATCTGAGTGATTAAAGCACCATTATATTTTTTCCATAACAACTTAAATAGCAGCCCACAGTCACTGTGCATAAACCACTATGATAACAGGTTTTCTGACAATAACCTTCTATATTCCAACATGTATGAAGAAAGATTGCACCAATTGTTCTAGAAACTATTATCAGAAATGAAATAGATTTACTGTGAAACAAAACATGACGTGGTAGAGAGAGACCAAAATAGTTCCTCCGTGCATGCACTCATAACATTAAATGATATGATATCCTTCAGAAATCCCTCAAAAAGACCTCACCTATAAAAAAGAATTAAGGTCCAAAAGAAATTCAAACAAATTGAATCTTACCAGCATCATTTGGAACATTCGTCACCAATGCCTGCTGATTAGACTGCTGGTGGATGGACTTTGGTTGCTGCTGTAAGCTGGGAGAAATAACACTATTAAGACCAGGTGTTTGGCCACCGAGTCCAACACCGGATTGGATAGAGAATGATGAACTTTGAGAATTGAGCTGCCAATATATGAGCATAAAAGATTATTTACCATTTCTTTCATGAAAGAAACTAATCTCAGTTTCCACCAAAGGGCAGTACATAGATACAACATACATATGAAATATGAAATGAAAACAAAAATCTAGATTTGTGTTAAACTTTGTTCGTAAGAAATTTAACAGCATGGAGCAGGCAAAAGAACAGAAAGAATCCATCTATGAATGAGCACCTGCTGCATGAGAGGGCTTTGTTGTGGTGCAGAAAATTGATTATGATTTCCTCCGGCAAGAGCAGGCATGTTGCCAAGCAGGTTGCTATGACCTTGCTGCACTTGCTGGAACCGTTGCAAAAACTTTTCCCTTATATCAGGAGCTATCTCAGTTCTTCCACGAAACTGACCCTGAAATAGATACATTAGCTACAATACCAAACCTAACACATATGACACGGATATAAATTGATAACAAAGTAGCATACCAGCTCATTTTGATTCTGAAATGAACTTCCAGGCCTCCACTGCATGCCCGAAACCATTGAAGGGGAAAAGGCTCTGCCAGGTAATCCAGCAGACTCAATAGGATTACCAGAATCAGCAGATGAACTTCCATCATTAGCCTTGGCTGCATGAGGCAAGATCATTCTATTACTAATAGGTGATGCCAGAGATTGCCCCATGCTACTATTTCCAAGTCTCTCATCAACCCCCAAAATATTTCTTTTGGACATGTCAGAGGCTGAAGAGACAACACCAAGGCCTAAATTGCCAGAAGTCACACTTCCAGACAAAAGGGGGGTACTAGATGAAAGCTGACTGGATAGACCTCCTCTACTAATGCCTCGTACTCCAGTTTCAACAAGGGATGGAGACGGCCTACGTCCAGGGAAGTTTGTTATATCTTCTTCCTTTGTAGAATTAGACATATTTACAGGAGAAGAAGGATTGGTATGGGCAGTGCTTTCCAAGACACTTTGAGCAGAAATTGAATCTGGAAGAACTGAAGGAGTTGAAGCACCAGACAGACTCTGAGGTGGAAGATTCAGTGCAGGGGTTGCATGGCTCCCAGTTGGTGTTGCTGCAGCAGAAGAATTAATTACACTACTTTTTGAAGGTGGAGTCCTTGCCATATCAGAATTACTGTCCTGGGAAGCAGTATCTTCAACATGCTCTTGGGAGGAACTGCCCGGCTG